GTTTTATCTGTAGCGAGCCAAAGACCGTGTAATGTTAAAGGTTTTGTGAGAGAACATTAGATTCCGTAGGTAACTGATTTCCAAACACTCACTAGACGGTTTCGGAATGAACGAGAAGGAGACTTAGTCGAGGATATAGATAAGAAAATTATTCCATCGCTTGAGATACTGCGCAGCTTATCAGAAGAGAAGTCCGCTCGAACTATTAAGGCCAGACGTATACAAACAGCAGAGAAAGATTTGGACTGCCAAGCTGTGACCACCGTTATAAATTCACAAGACAATGCCGGGAAACGGAAAGTCTCATTTAGATCTTCATAATTCCTACACGCACGCAGAATAATTATTATTGGGGAACGATCCAATGAGCACTTTCTGTAGTTACAATTGTGAATACAGTAATTCGCTCTAGGAGATCTTGTTCATTTTCGGCCGTTGAGGGAAACCGTCAATTGCGTTCTTTTGCGCAATCTATACATACTACTAACGCGAGTGAGTAGCACTGCACAACCCAATGATTCAAACCAAAACAGTGGGACTAAATTTATTCCTCGTCGAACTTTAAGAAGAAAGTCTTGGAAGTGGCAATATTTCGAGAAATTAAACATTTGGGTCCCGTAATGAATTTGAACAGGCAAGTCAGAAGACAAACACTGCGAGAGGAATTCCTTTCTTAATTCGCCTCATTTGTCTATATTGTTCGATGTTATACGTACGCGACCGATGAGAGTATACGAGGGGAATTCCTCTTGCAGTGTTTGTCTTCTGACTTGCCATTTCACGAAATGTTTTCAAGTGCTGAAAATAGAATTTGCCATTTCGATCTGGGAATAGAGGTTGAAAATTGATTTAGCTAATTTATCAGAACCAGAACCATCTTTAAGTGTAATCGCCGAAAAACCAGAAAGCATTCTTTGGGCTAGACCTGTTATCACCATCTGACTCAAAATTCGAATATGGAGAGGATTGTTGTCCAAGAAAAATTTGACTAGATTGAAAGAACACAGAAGAAAGATATTTCGCTTTGACAACCGGACAAAATGCCCCGGTTTATAAAGTTGAAGTTAAAGTTTTATTATGGGAAATACTTTCACAAGCGGTTGCCTTTCTAGTCCCAAAAGGGTTTAGCACATACGAGTCGATTCATGATGGTTCATAGAACATGGACGAATGTCACAATTTATCACGTTCCGTGCACTGCCATGGTGCGTTGTCGAAGAAATTCTCCTATCCAGCCTAGTACAAATCCCCTGAATTCTATAGTTGTGTAGTTTCCTCAGCAGTATTTTGTGGTTCACTCGATCGAATGCTTTGGAGAAGTCCAGNCATCATCGTGATCAGCTGGCTTTGCCCACTCTTCTCGGACAGGAAACCGGTTAATGGTACTCGATTGCCTGCGAGGAAACCCATGCTTGGTGCTGCCTGCCGCCATTATTAGAAGTAAATGGAAAGCCCGTTACCATGACAGAGGATGAGTAAGGTGAGATGTTTGCCAGACAATGAGATCTTTCGATAATATGCGGACAGTAAAAGTGAAAGTTTATCATCAATTTATTCACATCCGAACGGCACATACGACAATTATACCAAGATAAAAAGACACACGCATATTACGTTTGAGATTAACGAATACCAGATCTGTTGTATCGGGTTGAAAGTGGTCGATCGCAGCACACAGCAACAGAACCAAATCTCTTTTTTTCGTACTATTATATCGGCATCAAACAGGCTCAACTTCCAACCCGATAGTAGAATTTCATCATCTCACAAATCATGACAAATTTCCCATTAAGTGCAATCAACTGGTGCAAAAGATTTTTTAGAAATCTTCAAACG